CCCCGCGGGCGCCGCGTCCGATCCCACGCGGGCATGGCATGTGTGTGGCTGCACCAAGGGCGCTGGAGCGTTCCAGCTGCAGGATGTTTGGGTTTTGGTATGTTTGATTAGGGAATTCTTCCCTGTGAGGGAGGTGAGGCACTGGCAGAGATTGCCCAGAGAAACTGTGACTGCTCCATCCCTCTAAGTGTTCAGACAAGGCTGGAGTTTGCAGCAACCTGGGCTAGTGGAATGGGTCCCTGCCCATGGCACGGGTGGAACTGGATGGACTTTAAGGTCTCTCCCAACTCAAACCATTCCAGGATTCTATGATTCTAGACTCTGGGATTTTGGGCTAGAAAGTGTTTGCTGCTGGCTGTGTTTGGCTCGTGGGAATAGTTTGAGCTGATTTTTGATGCATTTTTCCTTGTTCTTCTACCTGTGTGCTCTCACTGAGTGCTGAGGGGTGACAAACACCATTCTCCCCACAGACACCATCGACATAGTGCGTGACCCCATCTCCCCAGGGGAATACAAGCCCGAGGAGGATCCCAAACTCTACCACTCATCCAAGACGGGTCGAGGCCCCCTGGGAGATGACTGGCTGGAGAATGCAGCAGCCAGTGGCCCCCTGATGTGTGCCTACAAACTCTGCAAGGTGGAATTCCGCTACTGGGGAATGCAATCCAAGATCGAGCAGTTCATCCACGATGTGGGTGAGTCCAGAGCTATGGAATGCTGGGGGGTAACTTGGGGAGCTGTGCCAAGCTTGCTGCCCACCCTCTTCTTTTCCCTCCTCAGGTCTGAGGAAGGTGATGCTGCGTGCCCACCGCCAAGCCTGGTGCTGGCAGGACGAGTGGACGGACCTGACGATGGAGGATATCCGGCAGCTGGAGGAGGAGACAGCACGGATGCTGGCACAGAAGATGGCCAAGTGTAGCGAGGCTGAGGAGCCCCCCATGGCTGGGGCCAGCCCCGAGGGGCGGCCGGAGCCGGAGGGACCCAGTGGGCAAGAGGGGGGCGAGTTGCAGGGGGAAACCGATGCCTCCCCCGACGATACCTTTGCCAAGCAGTGGTCCACATCTTCCCGGTCTTCCTACTCTTCCCAGCATGGAGGTGAGAGACAGGGTCCTGCATGGGTGGGATGGGGATCCCAACACCCTGGATGCTGCTGTTCTCCATAGGAGATGTGTCAGGGGACTCTTTTCCCAGGCTTGGGTCTCCTGGGAAGAGGTTTGAGTAACCCTGGGAAGGGCTCCGAGTCTCCTGGAGGGGCTCTGGTGACTCAGGGGTGGCCCTAGGTCTCCTGAGTGGACTCTGGATGACCCTGGGCATGGCCATGGTCTCCTGAAGGGGCTCTGGGTAACCCAGGGAAGGCTTTGAGTGACCCAGGGATGGCCCTGGATGTCCTGGGGGAGCTCTGGGTGACCCACAAATGGCCATGGATCTCGGAGAGGATTCTGGGTGACCCAGCGATGGCCTTTGATCTCCTGAGGGAGCTCTGGGTGACCCACCGATGACCGTGGATCTCCTGGGGGAGCTCTAGGTGACCCAGGAATGGCCCTGGATCTCCTGGGGGACTCTGGGTGCTGACCCCCCCATCTGTGGCAGGAGGAGTGTCTCCTCAGAGCCTGTCGGAGTGGCGGATGCAGAACATCGCCCGGGACTCCGAGAACAGCTCCGAAGAAGAATTTTTTGATGCCCATGGTACAGGCACTGGCTTGGGGTGGGCTGGAGGTGCAGGCACAGGGGTGCTCCCTTCACCCACACTACTCTCCCTGCCTCCACAGAGGATCTGTCTGACAGTGACGAAGTCTTTGCCAAGGAGATGACCAAGTGGAGCTCCAACGACTTCTTGGACACGCTGGAGCGGCCAGCAGAGCTGGATGAGGCGCTGGGTGAGCACCGGCAGGGGCTGCAGCCCTAAAGCCTGGTGTGGGTGTCCTGGAAGGGGGCTGATTCCCACCTGGAGCCCCAAACTGGGCTCAATGGGGCTGTGTGCTTGCAGGGGATGGAGCCAGTGCCGCCAAGGCAGATGGTGAAGGATTGGGAGCATCAGGCTTCTCCGAGGTGCGTGTCCCATGTCCCCTCCTTCCAGCTGTGCCCCCTGGCTGTGCCCCCCAACTTCAGTGCTCTCCTTCCTGCAGGGTGGCACGGCAGAGAGCACGGAGCAGATGTGCCGGATCCACGCACTCTTCCTCATCCTCCACAGCGGGAACATCTTGGACCAGGGAGCGGGCGAGCCGGGCTCCAAGCAGGCAGATGTGCAGACACTGGCAGCCACCTTTGATGCTGTCACCCGTGTCCACTTCCCTGAGGCACTGGGACACGTGGCACTGCGCCTGGTGCCCTGCCCGCCCATCTGTGCTGCAGCGTATGCCCTTGTCTCCAAGTAAGCATTCCCAATGGGAGAGGAGGGGACCAGGGAGCTGGTGGCCTTGGGGAGGGGACTTTGCTTCTCCTAGGGAGGCATCCAGAACAAGGGGTGGGATGGGATATGGTTAATTCCTGGTGCAGCATGCATGGGATTGGGATGGGGATAACTCCTGGTGGAGCATCCCAGGACAACCAAACGTCATGGGATGTGAAGGGACGGCATGGGATAACTCCTGGTGCAACATCATGGGATGAACAAGCACTGTGTGGTGGGATGGGGACATTGGGACAGCCCTGTTTATGCTCCCTATGTCCCCCCTCAGGCTCAGCCCCTACAGCCACGACAGGGACAGCCTGTCCAGCAGCCAGGACCACATCCCTCTGGCAGCCCTCCCACTGCTGGCCACCTCCTCAGGCAGCTACCAGCATGCTGTGGGCACTGTCATCACCCGTGCCAACCAGGCCTATGGAGCCTTCCTGCACTCCGGGGAGGGCGCTGGCTTTTGTGGCCAGGTGAGGTGGGACTGGGGGAAACTTGACTATGGTATCCAGCTGAGTACCCCTGTGGGGAGGGTTCATGGTGTGTCACCCCCTTCATGGTGTGTGTCCCCACAGGTGGTGCTGCTGGGGGACTGTGTGGGTGGCATCCTGGGATTTGATGCGCTGTGCCGGAGCCGGGCGGGATCAGGGGGCAGCCGGAGCAGCAGCCGCCGGGGCAGCCTGGTGAGTGTCAGCACCCCAACACCCTCTGGGGAGTGTTTGGGGGTGCAGTGGGAGCTAAGAGGGGTCCGGGTGTTTGCTGTCTCTCCCCCTGCAGAGCACAGAGCCCATCTCCCCAGAGCTGAGCAGCGGTGGGGACCCGCTGGCTGATGGGACAGAGGGAGCAGCGGGATCTGCCCAGGCCAGCCCCAAGATCCTGGGGACACAAGGGGACAGTCAACAGCAGAGCTCCTCAGGCAGGTGAGCCCAAGGGAGATGGTTAACATCCCAACTAATCTTGTGCTTTATGGAAAGGGTGGAATTCCCATCTGCTCCAGGCTGGGAAGGAGCATTTCACATGGGCTGGCTGCCCTGAGTGGGTCTTGCTGGAGCTCCTCTGGGATAACAGGACTATACTAAGCATGGCTTTGCCCCTGGGATGGTGGGAGCAGGATGGTGTCACCTCTGCCAATGCCTGCTGTCCTTGCTGTCCCAGCCTGCAGGCCAGTGAGGCCCCACTGGAGGCAGAGGCACCCCGGAGTGGCACCTCAGCGCCAGATGGGGCAGAGGGTGCCAGCAGCCGTCTCGACTTTAAGGTGTCTGGGTTCTTCCTCTTTGGCTCTCCACTGGGGCTGGTGCTCGCACTGCGCAAGACTGTCATGCCTGCTCTGGATGGTGAGGACACCCCCAGCCCCTGACCCTTCCTGCAGGGCTTAAATCCCCTAGTCGTGCTCCCCCTACCAGCCTGAGCCACCCAGGACCTCCTCAGAGAGCTCTGCTTGGGTTTGGGCTCCTCACATGCCCAGCCATGGCTGTGTGGTTGTTGTTGGTGATGTTGTCCCTGCTCTGTGCCAGCCCCAGCCCATCCCTGGTGTGCTAAATTCCCTCCTCATTCTTTCCTCTCGCTGTGTTTTGCTTTACCCCTCCCTGTTGTTTTGCTCCTGGTGCCCCCCAGCCCTCATGCCTCCTCACCATGCCATCTGGGCACCCCTGACCCCTTCTCTGTGCCACAGTGGCCCAGCTGCGTCCTGCCTGTGACCAGATCTACAACCTCTTCCATGCTGCTGACCCCTGCGCCTCTCGCCTGGAGCCCCTCCTGGCCAAAGCCTTCCATGCTGTCCCTCCACTCAGCGTGCCACGCTACCAGAAGTACCCCCTGGGTGATGGCACCTCGTCCCTGCTGGGTGAGCACATCCCCACCATGCTGGTCCTGGGCACCCTGGGGTTGTGTTGGGGTCTCCAGAGCATCCACAGCACTGCAGAGCCTGGCTGGGTGAGGGAAAGGGATGTGCAAGCCCTTCCCACCCCTCTGGGGCTCTGCTGGAGGAGTGTCCTGGGGTAGTGGTTGTCTCTGGGGGCTCACCCATCTCTGTCTACAGCGGATGCCCTGCAGACACACTCTACCCTATTCCTGCCCAAAGTGGACATGGCCCCCCCTACCCCCACGGGCAGCTTTGGTGGCTTCTGGAGGGGCAACGAGTCAACAGAGACCCCCACTCCTGCCAGCACCAGCGAAGTTGTCAAGAGTAAGTGCCATCCCTTCCCATGTGTGCACCTCAGGATGCACAACCAGGGATGAGGTCTGGGAATGGCTTCATTTCATCTCTTCCCACAGTTCTGGAGCGCTGGTGGGGCCCAAAGCGCATTGACTACTCTCTGTACTGCCCTGATGCCCTCACTGCCTTCCCCACCATCACCCTGCCACACCTCTTCCATGCCAGCTACTGGGAGTCCTCTGACGTGGTGGCCTTCATCCTGCGCCAGGTACGGCGGGGACGGGAGCCGAGGACGGCGGCGGAGGCTGAGCGGGGTCTGTACCATCGGCAGGTGATGGAGAAGGAGGGGCCACATCCGACAGAGAGTGAGGAGAGTTCCATCTACAGCCCTGCTTTCCCTCGGGAGAAGTGGCAGCGGAAGCGCACCCAAGTGAAGATCCGGGTATGTGGCCCATGGCCAGCGGGAGCCCACCCAGGGCAGACTGCAGCCCTGGGGCGGTGCAGCTGGGAGGATTCCAGGACAATCCCACAGTCCAGCGGGGTCCCTGTGCCACCCCAGGGGCTCCCTGGGGAGCTGTGGCCCCACAGAACGTGAAAGCCACCCACCGAGCCTGCGACGTGATCGTGTGTGAGGGCAAAGCGCAGGTCCTCAGTGGACGTTTCATGTATGGACCCCTGGACGTGGTGACACTCACTGGGGAGAAGGTACTGCTGGGCTTGTGGGTGTCAGATGGGGAGGGGTGTCCAGGACAGGGCATGGGGCTGGTGTCACCCATGGTAGGGGAAGGACGTGGTGAGCAAGACACCGTGTGGGATGGTGGGAGACAGTCGTAAGGATGTGTAGGTGGCAACACGGCCAGATGTGGAGGTTCAGCCCATGCCCAGCCCATTTCCCCCCCAGGTGGATATCTACATCATGACACAGCCGCTGTCAGGGAAGTGGCTGTACTATGGCACTGAGGTGACAAGTGGCAGTGGGCGCCTGACCTTCACCATCCCTCTGGAAAAGGCTCTGGCCATCGGTATCTACCCTGTGCGCATGGTGGTCAGGTGAGGTGTCACCTCCGTTCCTCCTCCAGCCCTTCTGGCAGTTACACCATCCCTTGGCAGCAGAGCTGATGCTGAGCCCTCACCTTTCTCATCCCAGGGGGGACCACAGCTATGCTGAGGCATACCTGACCGTGGTGGCCCCTGGCACCGAGTCTGTTGTGTTCAGCATCGATGGCTCCTTCACTGCCAGTGTCTCCATCATGGGCAGCGACCCCAAAGTGCGGGCAGGGGCTGTGGATGTTGTAAGGTGAGTGCCCTTCAGTCTGGGGGACAATCTGCCCCTCTTTCATGGTGTGGTGACAACCCAGCTGGAGGGTAGGGGTGGGTGTTAGAGCAGGGACAAACTGGGGGCTGTCCCATCACCCCATTGGCCAGAGAGTTGACACAGCATCTCTATGCTGGTGCTTTATTGTGGAAAATAATCTCCTCTGGTTTTGGATGTGATACCCACAGCTCTGCTGTGCATTTCCCTTGATAAAATCACAGAGTTATTAAAGCTGGAAAAGACCTCTGAGATCATTAAGTCCAACCTATGACCTAACACCACCATGTCCACTAGACCATGGCACTGAGTTCTACATCTTATTAAACCTCTCCAGGGATGGTGACTCCCCCACCTCTCTGGGCAGCCCATTCCAGCATATAATCACCCTTCCTGTAAAGAAATACTTCCTAATGTCCAACCTATCCCTGGGAGCAGGGAGGTTTTGGAGGCAGCACCCACGAGTACTGTGTTGGGAGCTGTCCAGTGGCTTCCTGCCAACAAGACTGTCCCCACATGGACTCCTGGCAGCCACCCATATCCCCTCGTAGGCACTGGCAGGACTCAGGGTACATGATCATCTATGTGACGGGGCGCCCCGACATGCAGAAGCACCGGGTGGTGGCCTGGCTCTCCCAGCACAACTTCCCCCACGGCGCCGTCTCCTTCTGTGACGGGCTCACCCACGACCCGCTGCGCCAGAAAGCTGCCTTCCTCCAGAGCCTGCGCACCGAGGTGGGCACAGGGATGCTGCCAGGGCGGGACAGGGAGCTGGTGGCAGGGTGGTATGGGCTGTGCTGGTCTTGTGCCTCTCTGCATCCTGGTGCTGGGAGCTGTACCACACTGCCACGGTGGAGCTGGCAGCCTCTCAGGGCAGCTCTCAGCCATCCCTTGGAACACGAGGGTGTCCCAGCCCCTGGGTGTGGCTGTCCCTGTGGGAAGAGTCTTTCCCTGTCCTAATGCTCCTGTCCCTGTGCAGGCAGAGATCTCCATTGTCGCTGGCTATGGCTCCACCAAGGATATCTCCGTGTACAGCTCGCTGGGGCTCACGCCAGCACACATCTACATCGTGGGACGGGCTGTCAAGAAGTTCCACAACCAGTGCCAGGTATGGTGGTGGTGGGGCTGGGAACAGGCTGGGAATAGAGGGGCCAATGATTGACCCCACCAGCATGTGATGCCCGCGGCCACCAGCTCACACTGCCCACGTGTCCCACAGTTCCTCTCCGAAGGCTACGTCGCCCACCTGGCCCAGCTGGAAGCAGCAGCTCTGGCTCACTCCCCCAAAGGACCCCCACGACCCGTGCTGGGCAAAGGCACCTATGGCAATCCGGCACCTGTAGACTTCCTCCGGAAGCAGAGCCAGCTCCTGCGCTCCCGGGGCTCCAGCCAGGCGGAGCGGGAAGGGGGACCCTCCTCAGCTCCCCCCAGCTTGTCCCGGGCCAAGCCCCGCAGCATCAGCTTTTTGAGTGAGGGTGGTGCTGCCACATTCCCCCTCCACCACATCCCTGATTTCCCAGCCAGGAGCACCTGGGGCTGGAGCCGGCACTGGGCCATGAGCCTGTAGGAAGGAGATAAGGGTGCTGAGTCCCCTGAGACTGGGGGATGCTGGGAGAGGTGCTCTGAGCCCCCCAAGGGCCAGAGCGATCCCCTCAGGGCTGAGCCACCCTGGGTCCCCCCTGGTCCTTTGGGGCTGTTGGGCAGTACCCAGTGTGGTCTGCACCCTGGGGTCCCTGTCCCTGTGCAGAGCTGGGGCACTGTGGCTGTTCCCCTGCTCTCCACCTATTTATTTTGGTCCAGTGTGGTAGGGCAGGGCTGGGCTGGGCTGAGGTTCCAGAGCAGTTCATCTGTTCCCCATTTCGTTTTGGTGTTGAATAAAGAGATGTTACAAAACACTGGCGCCCGCGTGTCTGCTCTGTACCCACCGCCCACAGACCTGGCACCACGGCTGTCACCCACCGGGAAAGCCCTGGGGAGCCACCAGGGACATGGAGTCATGCAGGGAGGTGACTCAGGGGCACAACAGTTGGGTCACGAGCAATTTAGGACAGGGTAAAGAGCCTGGGGGGTGTGGGCTGTGGGCTATGCTGCCCATGCCCTCCCCCTGCCCTGTTCCTTCCTTTCCAACTTTGTTTTCCCTCATTTACCTCTAACAGAAAAATTATGTAGTGACTAGGGTCTGTGACTCGTTTTACTTGAGTTTATCTTGTCATAGCATGACCAGAAGTTTATAGAGATAGCAGGAACAAGCTGTTAGTCTATATAAAATATTCCTGATGCTGACATGAGAGGAAACACTGGTTTGGGATGATAGCAGCAGCCTGGAGCAGTGACAGCAGCGTGGCACGAGGGAGAACAGGCATGATGGGGTTGGAGCCGGGGCCAAGGCCCGGCACCATGGCCCCTGTGGCCACCATAGAGTATAAAAACATCACATAAGGGATAAAAGTTGGCAGGGAGCAGCAGGCTGGAGCTCGTGTCACCCACACGTCCCTGGTGCGTAGATGAGCAGAGTCTACAGCCCAGCAAAGAGCTTCAACCACACAAGTGCCTGGCAGTGTCCTCGGGTTGTGGCGAGCTCCAGGGCACTTCCACTGCCTTCACGTAAGTAAAATCTGTATTAAACATTAATAAACATCCATGACCATTCCACATGTGGAATATCTAAAAGGCCCTGTCCCGCGGGCGCTGGGCTCTACTGGGAGAAGATGCCCTTGAAGCGGATCTTGTCCTCGGCGTCCTTCTCCCGCAGCCGTGCTTCCAGGCTCCGCAGCTCCTTGGACACCACGGTGCGCAGCGAGGGGTCGAGGGACAGCACCTTGGCGAAGTCAGCCTGTGCCTCTGCCACGTTCCACACGGCTGCGTGCGCCTTCCCCCGCTTGAAGTAGGCTTTGACGTTGTCTGTGGGGAGAGAGCCGGGGGTCAGCAGAGCACTGCGTCTCCCCAGTGCCCCCCAGACTCCTCCAGGATGTCCCGAGGCTTCTTACCCTCATACTTGTTGAGGATGGAGGAGCAGTGATCCAGCACTTCATAGTACTCCTCACACTGCAGCTTGCACTGGCAGTAGTTTAAGAGCAGGGGTGTGATCTTCTGGTCCAGCTCGATCCAGTCCGGGGAGCCTGGCTGCTCCTGCATGAGACAGAGCAGGGAAGAGTGAGGGGCAGCCCCCACGCCTGGCATTCCAAGGGGTATGCCCATGTGCATCCAGGGAGACCCACCTTCATCTGCAGGTTCTTAAGGCAGGCGATGGCATCGTAGTATTTGGCAGCTGCCTCGGGCACCTTGCCCTGGCGGTACAGCTCGTTGCCTTCCTTGTGGATCAGGGGCACAGCCTGGAGCTTCTCCTCATCCGTCATGGCCCATGGGTCCTGCTGGTAGGAGCCAGGCGGCTCCACCTGCGAGCACCGTCATGGAATCATTTAGATTGGAAAAAGCCCTCTAAGATCAAGTCCAACCTTTAATCCAGGGTTGCCAAGCCCACCATTAAGCCATGTGCCCCATATGCTTTTGGACACTTCTGGTATAGTGACTCCACTGCCTTGAGCAGTTTGTGCTAGGGCTGGACAACCCTTTCCATGAAGGAATTTTCCCTAATATCCAACCTGAACCTCCCCTGGTACAGCTTGAGGCTGTTTCCCCTTGACCTGTCGCTTATTCCCCGGGAGCAGAGTCTGCCCTCCCCAGCCTGGCTGCCAGGGAGCTGTAGAGAGCGACAAGAGTCTGCCCTCCCCAGCCTGGCTGCCTGGGAGCTGTAGAGAGCGAGGTCACCCTCATCCTCCTTTTCTCCACGCTGAGCCTCCCCTGCTGCTCCAGATCCTTCTCCATCACAGCAAAGCCCCAGTCCCAGGGCAGAGGTGCCGGTGGCCACCACGAGCAGGTGCCTCACCTTGAGCACCTCGATGTCAAAGATGAGGGGCTGCGGGTTCTTCTGCAGCTCGTCGAGGTCGGGGTACCCCAGGGAGTAGTGCTCGTGCATCTGGGCGATGCTGCAGCAGTGTCGCTGCCCTTCCAGCGGGTCCT